TTGCATTTTCGTTTGAGTACCAGGCTTCTAGGAATTCCCTGACTGCACTTTTAGTGTTTCCTCTGTCTAAGATTTTTACATTATCCCAATCAAATTGATGTCCATAATTGTCTATATGCATTGATACTAAAGAATACATATCGTGTCTTTTCACGACTGATTTGTGTTCTTGGATTCTAATTCGAAGGGACGCCCACTTTGGCCGATGCAATGCCTGTTCCAGTTCATATAATTTATTTTGTAAATGGTATTAATTTTATCACCTTTTTCTTTTGAATCTTTCGGTTTGCAGTCAAAAACCCACTTATTAATGTAATCGCTTGCAAAATAGGGACCTATCTTCGATTCACTTTTTAATTTTGTAGGACAATAACAAACTGACTGGTCATTAGGTGTGTTCAGACTACTGGACAAGTAAATTAGTAGTCACTTTGAATGGACACTACGTAGTAACTGGAGTCATGCGTCTAGTCCTTTGTTTAGTGTAGACTGAATTGTATCAGCCAAGTAACGTCTCTGACTGCAGCACTGGGTGACACAGATTCGAATCTCAGAAGGGACATGAGTTCCTTCAGGATTGTAGATCCTGTTTGCTGACTGGGGAGTGCTAGCAAGCACGAAACCTATAGGCGAGGCTTCGTGCCGATCGCCTGCAACCATTTTAAGACAATAATTCACATTAGTAGTCAAGAGTATTTGTGTATTTATTGATAGGTGAATTGTACTATGCATACTAACTAACACATCCCACCATTCCGTTTAGCATTATCTTTCAGTTCGTGCTTATTTACTATGTATAAGTGTATACAGCAATAATTGGCGTTGTTTTCAAAAGCTCAATTCCGATAACCTTTACATGGAATCAAAAAGTTAAATTTCGAGGCTTGAGACTCATTAAACAACACAGAACAAAGTGTAAATAAAAAAACCATATAGTCATAACAACATTACTAAGTAACTTTTTTTACGTTCCTATGCATAAATGTCATTTTGCTTATAATACACCAATAGTTTATTGATTTTAATTAACATACTGATATAGAAAACTTATAATAGTGAACTATTGAATTACATTTAACGTCGCAGCTTATTCGACCTTAAATCTCATTGTCTTTTATTCCCAGCACAGATGGATACTGAAAGACTGATGGGTATTGTATTGTGTCCTCAACAATACCACTTAAGTGTAATAAATGTTAATAGCAGAGATTTCACACAAGAAACTCGTATAAAAACAGCTCATGCAGTTCATGTATAAAAAGAAAATATAATTTAAAGAAGCAACTCTTTTCAGCGATTTCAGTGAAACGAAAATCACAATAACAGTCGATATACTTCATGAAAGTGAAAAACCCAACTGAACAGTTTGAGTTATTTTATCTGTTAACATCTGAAAGACCAGTGACCAGAACTAAGCACCTGTTCCTTGCTGTTTCCATGGAAGCTGATTATGCTGCTGAGGTATATACTTAAGAAGTATTTATAAATACGATACAACTTAGTTTGTGCTTTAATGATTGACTTTGGGAGCTGCTTTAATTATTAGAATTTATTGGAGGATTTCATCATGAGCTGATATCGGCTAGAGAACCATTGGAAAACCTTAGCGTACTGGACAGCTGTTTCGTCCTAGTTTGGGACTCTACAGCACTACGCACCCACCACCAGGGTTCGAACCCACGACCTTCTGGCTACAAGGCTAGCGAGCTCGTAGACCATCAAGCCACTGAGACCCGATCCAATGACTGGCCCATGAATTCTCACTTCTGACAATTCACGATAGTTTTTATGAGTGAATGTTCTAGTCCTTTTCACTGTTCATAACTACTTCTAGGGTTATTTCAGCTGCTTCGAAGATCTGAAAGTAAGAGTTCACACCACTCAGTCCGACTTGGTGGATTACGTTTTGATGTTTGAAGTGGCATAGTTTCGTGGTTTAAGTCTCCTTAGAATTGCATCGTTGAAAAAGTCTTCAGCTGATTAGATGCGACCATAACTATACCTACAAAAATGAATTAAGTCAGTTCTACAAAAATATGTTTCAAAGAAATTATTCAAATTCACCTTGTCTTTATTTTTAACTTAATATTAAATTATATGCTTTATGCAAATAATGCTACTTGTAACGGAATAACTATTTCAAAAATCTCTCCTGAACGACCTACTTATAATATTGATACTTATTTGGATATTTCAACTAACTTTGTAATTACCTTCCTCTTTTCTCCCTTAGGCTGTATATCACTGTTCTACCGTTTGCATATCTCCCATTGACTCAGTCCTTAGTATTTGTCTTTGTTCTTGTGCAATCCCTAATTTAAATGCTTCTCGTTTTAGTTGCATGACGGTATTGAGGTTTTGTTTGAGTGAAGTCAAGGTTATTTTAACCATGGACTGTCCGCGAGAAGTGCTTAGCGCGTGATTCTTGTTGACAGGGTTTTGGTCCCACCGCGTAATAAATATTCTGCTTAGTTCTCAGCTACTTCTTACCGTTGATTTTTGGAACTATTGGATCTGTAAAGCTGCCTAACGTCATTGTTGAGGTAATTTTGCCTTTTGATACGTTATGCTTGTTGAATAGTACCACAGATTTTATTGCAGATAACTGTCTTTAGGCTGGCGTCGGAACATTTTGGGACTGTGAGTAACTCAGGAAGTTTTTCCTAGCTATACTGTAGAACGCAATGGTTGGTTTCCTACACGCAGACCAAAACACGTCAGTTTCGGTAGCTACATTACATATTAAGCTCTACTTGTAAATTATGCCTTATCTTTAGGTACTATCTAAAATTCACGGATATAACATGTACGATTATAAATTAAACACACTGGGGTAATATAATCAGTTCCTCCTCTTAGGAACATAGTAATAGCGATGCTCTTATGAAAAGTAAAGTGTGTTCTAAGAACTATCTAGTAAAAGAAAACCAGTTCATTACATGCTATACTTATGAAGCGGATTAACAACTGACGCATCGAAGGCCTGTTTACCCTGTTATTCTCTACCATCAGTCTGAATTAATTCACACACAATATTATGCAATATAACCATTATTTTACGAATTAAAACAAGCTGTGACATGAATTTACCGTGCATATATATATATATGTATACATGAGATTTCTCATTGACGTTTGAAATTTGAGCTCAGCAATATTCTATTAGGAGTAAATACAAAAACAGGAACCCATTGATCCGTGTATAAATGATCTGGTATTAACATGGAATCAGTGTTTACCCCTTAATTGTCTATTCAAGTGAGTGTCCTGATAGAAATTTGCATTGAAATCAGTTTCATTTTAAAGATGACTAATTTAAATGATGTTCTCAATCAATTAAGAATTCGTGAGCATTGTGACTTTATGACAGGTTAGTATAATAATTCAATCATGCTTCCATCCAGTTGACTTACACTTCTGAAGGAAGCATAGGGCTCTAAGAGTTAACCTTTGAATTTGTAGTACTACTGTTGTTCTTTTACATGCTATGGCTGCTAGCTCCACGTCCAACCTTCTCTTCTTTACACCTTACTATTAGCTAGTAAACCAGTTGAGGTTTGAGAGTACGTCAGTCGAGAATCGAACTGCAGACCACGTGATTGGCTGGCGAGCATTTTACCACTGAACCACCGACGGACGTAAAAGGAAAATATTTGTCAACACTATTATCATTCATCGAATTAACATTTCACAGTGAAAGTGAGCTAAACTACCCACAAATGCAAGAGTAAATTGTTTTAAAGCCCAGAAGTTTAATACAACTTCATGCGTTATGAAGCAATAAAATCACATAGTTCTGAAGATTAGCGATGCAACTTGTCTGCAAACATCAAGTAGGTGAAGGGAAATTAACACCTACACCGAAACTCACTAATTAAAGCATCTATTCCGTCTTACCTTCTACATCAAGAAGTTAAAACATTCTGGTATAACGCAACCCTTACTCCTACAATTCGTTAAATCTCGCATTCTGCCTATTATTCTCTATTGTTCCCCCTTAGTTTTTCCCGGGCTACTGAAGAAAGACTTTAACATATTACGCAGGATGTTAAAGGTTGTCAGCAGGGTAAGCAACGTGCCACTTAACCAACTTGTTAATATTCTGGTCGACAGGCACATGGACTCATGTGAAAAATGGACCAAATCCATTTTATCTAACTCACACCACCCTCTTCACTCACAACTCTCCTCTTGCATCTCATCAGCCAAAACCAGAAGCCTATATAGGAAACTATATGCTCGCACCAGCAAGTACAAAAACTCAACCATACCCTACTTAGCTCGTGTTCTGTGTGATAAAGAAAGCATTAGGCGTGACACCTATAATTCGTTAAATAGTCAGTAGAACAACTGGACCTCGTCTTTCCAACTCATATCATTTATAGGTACAACATTTTCTTTCTTTCTTTTCCTTTTCTCTCTCTCTCTCTCTTTTTTCCGTTTTGTGCTGCTTTCTTTCTTTCTTCCGTTTACTCCAGTAAATATGATAGCACCTACTTTTCTAACACCTTCAAACACTGTTCAACTTTGGCTTTGCTATCGATATGCCAATATGTTGTTTGTCATAATGAACTGAGATTTCCCTTATCTATGTAGAATTCTATTTATTGATAATGTACTAACTGGATGCAATACTCTAGTAAAAAAAATGCTGAGAATTCTATTCTGTATCACAAGTACTGTTTTGGAATAAAGCAAATTATTATTATTATTATCTACGGCTGCAACCAAAGTGCTGAAACTGAATAAGTTTCAAAGCTAAAATAACTTAGACATGGAGTAATTAGTGAGCATCTTATATATATATTTGCTTGCTTAGATTTATTTCATAATGACAAGACTAATCTCTATCTCAAAACTATTTATTTGATCTATCGTCAAGGTTGAATAAATGAAAAGGCGGAATGAAATATAAAATAAGCATGTATTTATATTATGATGTATAAAATAAAGCTTTAAAACCACAAATTATGGAAGACTTGGACTAGATTAGTTACTAAAATAATGATCTCGAATATTTCCTTCTATAACAAATAAATAAACCTCTTAATGTATGTATATTTGATTGAACAAAATTACTAACATTTACTCGCCTTCTTCAGTTTTTGATGATAAGTAACATGAAAGAAATTGTTGATTATTTCTTTGAACTGCTAGTTAGAAGGCTTGTTGTTTTAACTGCTTCGTATTTACCCATTGAAACAAAAATGATTGCCCAACACAGAGTATATGCAATTTCGCTAGGTTTTTTATTTATCATCTTATGGGATGTGCTTATACGTAATTAGCAAGAAGGCAACATTAAGTTGTATTCCATTAATCTGTTTTCCAGCATTCATTGAAACTGATGTCTTTGAGCATTAACAAGATTTTACTGAAGATGTTGTCAAGGTTTATGGATTCATACTACTGAATGCATAAATTAGATTTCACTAAACCGTCTGTTCTCCACCGACATATGAAAACTTGTGTTTAGAATTTAAATAATCATCCTTATCATAATACGGAGTATTTCCATTTTCTGTATCCGACTCAATAGTCATTGTTGTATCAGATATTATTTGGTTATCAGTAAAACCTGAATTATTATTATTAGTAGTAGTATTATCATTTTCAGTAATAGTATCTGTATTAGTTATAGTAGGAGTAGTGGAAGAAGGCAAAGAATAAGTATTAGTACTAATAACACTGCTGGTAGGATGTGAGATATGTGTAGCAGTTGGTGTTTTTATTGATTTATTCATATTCCGTGGAAAAACGCTTCCACCTGATTGCTTTTTACCCCATTTAAAATATTTGATGTTCTTAAATCTTTTCTTTTTATTGGGCACACCATCTGTTTCTTGAGTTAACTGTGAATCATGAATTTTACGCATCATTTGCGTACGACGTGATTCAGGTAGACTAGTTTGTGCGGCAATCGCTAATAAACGATTCAGTGTTTTATCATCACAAGTGATCTCTTTATAGTGTTTACGATCATTTGTAAAATGAAACAGAATTAAATCAGTTACTATTGTTGATATGCCTAACAATGCTAGACCAGAACCAAGTCGCATTGAGAATGATAGTAGATTGAATTTTCCAGCTCTTCCAGTAACACGTATTATAAACTGAACACCATTGACATGCATTAGAATACGCTTGCGATTCTTAACCATTTCTGTATCATAGCCGAAGTATGAAGTGATGCGCATAGAAAATCCTTCAAGAAGTGTAGTCATCTCGTCCTCGTCATCGATAAAGTCATCTTCACCATTTAATTTACGTGTCATATAAGAGTAATCAAATGTCATCTCTGGGATGTCAGTTTTGTTTGATGCTGATGACGAAGATCTGACATGATTATCCTTCTGACGGTAAGTTTTATTTTTCCCATTAACTTTCTCTGGTTTTTGAACACTTTCCAATTCTAAAAATTCATACTGCGGTAAGCAGTAATCAATAGGCCAATCTAAATCACATTGCCAATTAATCGTGACTGCTATAACTCCACCATATTTCAACATGCGATTTGCATTACTTCCAGCAAATTTAAATATATCACCTATACGGAACTTGGGACAGTACTGATCAATTGTATGTTCTGGATTATACAAACAATCGTTCAGATAACTTTTTGTCATCCATGGTAAGATGTTACGTCGTTTCGTTTGGAAAGCAGGAAATTCTATGCTATTCTTAATAAGAACTGTGAAATTAATAACTTCGAAAAATGGATCAGCAGAGTGTGGTGTACGTTCGTTAATTCGATTTTTGGCATCTAGAAATTCTAAATCTGTAAAATAACCATAATATTCTTCTAAAATGTTTATTGGTTGAGTTAGAACTCTCTTTACATTACGTTCTTTGCGTAGCTCGTGCTCATAGTCATCTTCAGTTGGACACCAACCAAATATTTCACATTTCCCACGATCTTTTAAACATTTCCCGGTAAATATTCCGTGTGCACTTTCATCTGATACAACCAAAATCTCATCTTCATTAATACGGTCTGAATCATAAATCTGATGATCAGCTTGATAACCTCCTGGACATTGATAGTCTTCTAAGCACTCTGCATCATGTAGGTGATCACCTTCGCTACATGTTGTCATGTTTTGTATAACAGAGTGTTTAATTCTTGTTATCAAGTAAAAGGCAGAATTCGGTGATGGCTGTACTTGATAGTCTGCACTATCCAGTACAATTATGCCGTTAGTGTCATGATTCTGATGCTTAGGCACATGCTTCCAGGCTATACCCTTTACTTTAGCTGCCACACCGCTTACTGGATTATCAAATGATTGATAGCCTCTGTTTAACCACATCACATAAATAATGAAATATGAAAGTATGAAAAGTTGAATTAAACGATGTATCATTGCCAATACTGGTTGACGAATGATTACAACACGTGGCATGTCAAAAACAAATATTGACCTTAGTATATTCATGCTGAATATGAACAGGTGTTCTGATTTCACCAATTAGTATAAACTACTTTCACAGGTCCACATCCAATGCTACTATCTTATAAACAGAATAGAAATATTGAGTTTAAAATAGAATTACTGCTAGACTTTAATCGTAGATCTTGCTTCCCCAAATTCTTTAAAAAGCCTTTTACATCAATTTTAACAGTTCCACATGCTTTTTTTGTGAACTCGACTGTTCACTTGTCACAATCAGTGTACTAAATATTTAAAAATACCAATGACAGAATGTAAAGACTTCATTTCAGTGTCTTACTTTCAACTTTGTATGAAATTAGATATTGACATCATTTGTCATGTTGAAACAAATAGTTGTTTGAACATACAATACACTTTTTACTTTACCCGGTGTTTATAACACACTGTAGCAAATCCAAAATCTCTTCCATATTGTATAGCAAAGCGCAATAATACATATCAAATCATGAGAGGTATCATAAAAGACAGAATGAAAATAAAATGTAGTAATCAGGGAACATAGATGAAATTCTTGGTAATTCCATTCTGTTATGTTTGCAATCAAATACCATTAAGGCCTTCTTGAAAATATTCTCTGTGTTGAAATACGTGAGATACGTTAAATGAATTACATTTGTATCAACCAATCATATTGCATCCAAAAGTGTACATCAGTTTAGTGTAATTAAGAGTTTATTATATATACACGCTTATCTGTACAAAAATAATGGGGCAGGATATATATATAGAGTGTATTATGTAGGCATATCTTTTCTCCAATGAACAATGAATCGCCTGTGAATGTCATTTGAAAATATCACAGACTTCTTTTATAAATCAAAGAAAACTTTCCAATTGTAATTTCTTTTGCCAATTTGATAATGTAAATTGTCGAATCAAGTGCGAATGTTAAAACAGAAAGGGGGAGAGAGAGAAATAGAACGAACTATTAATTGGAATATATACACATATACAATAAATATGCAATTGTTATACAATTGTCACGTGTACAAACAGTAAGATTATACATACACTTTCATATTGAATAAAAAATTTTTGATAGCATAGTGTCAAACAAAACATTTATTTGTCAGATTTTAGTAATATATTTAGAGATGGTAAAAAATTGACGGAAAAATAGAATTCATAGTAGATTTATTCAATAAACGACATCATCTAGAGAACCGCCCGAAAATCAGACAGCCCTGATTGATTGTTTCATCCTAGTGGAACCATGAAATCAGATAAATCGCTGCAAATCAACACAAATAAAACTAGTTTCAACCGTTTGATAGAAATTACTTCGGCAAACTTGAGGAGAATCGAGCTCCCTTGTCTATTGATAATTTTAAAGGATTTCGCAATTTCCACCTACCGAGGAGATGTCTGGTAATAGCACCATTATAAGAATGGCAGTCCACTTAGCCCTGTTTTAGCAGATATCTTCATGTCAAACTTTGAGAAAACAAAGTTGAAGCATGTAACTGACCAAACAACTTCCTATTGTCGATATGTCAATGACACATTTGTAGTGTACAACAACGAAAGTCATGCTTCCTACCTACTCAGATTATTCAACGACGCACATTCAAATATTGAATTTACTATGGAATATGAAAATGATAGAAAGTTCCATTTTCTTGACATTGCCATGCAACGCCTAGAAGATGGTAGTCTCCAGAAGTCAATTTACCGAAAACCCACTAGGAAAGAACAATACCTATATTTTAATAGTTCTTGTCCAAATAGCTATAAACGAGCACTAGTCAAGACTCTGTACTATAGAGCGAGGAGAATGTGCTGTGCAGAGAAACTAGAGGAAGAATTTACGATTCTCGAAAAGGTGTTGAAAAACAACGGTTATCCTCAAAGATTCATTAACAAATATGGAAGATGTGAAGGCTCAAATATCAAACAAATCACAGTGGAGAAAAAGCTAGTCTACATTCAACTTGATTATAAAGGTGAAAACATCACAGCAATGGTCAACAGAAGATTGAGGACGTCACTAGCCAAAGCCTATCCTGCAGCTAAGCTCGTTCCCATCCATCGAACAACTAGCTCTTTGGTGCAATCAAAAATCGATAGATATCCCTCTCATGTTAATTCCAACTGTGTATACAAATTTACGTGTATCTGCGGGAGCAGTTACATTGGGAGAACAGAAAGAGGGGTGCACCTCCAATTTTCTGAACATGGGCCAAAAAGCCTACGTCTCAAGGGAACACACTGTTATAATAGCGCTATTACCTGACAAATAAAACTATATATTTATGCTTCTAGATTCACAGCATAAATTGGCTAAAGTCCGCTATTATGTAAACTCGTTGCTACAGTACTTTGATACTGTTTGTGGTAATATCTTGATACCTGTCTGTTAAATGTGTCACCATTCTTGTAAATATTGGTGTCACTCCTAATATTCTTGCAGTTTATGTTTATTATCGAAATATTAAGTAATCATTCCGAAAAAACGATGGACTGAGTCTGTTTTTAGATTAAATCTGTTGACATATCAGTCCCTAGTGGGGACGCTTCGATGATGACTAAGGATTGACGTGAAATTATTTTGGTTGGGAGTGACTAGCAGCTGGACCAAGGATGCACACTCGTCCTATTCGTGACTTGTCAGATCGATGTGTCTGGGTTCCCACTGAGTGATGGTGGTGTTCCCACCGAGATTCGAACCATGTTCCCATCGTTTCAAATGTCAAAGCATTATCTACTAGGCCATGAGGTGCTGTCTAAACACCACTCACTGGGAATGCAGGTATATCTAGCTGACAGGTCCTGAACAGGATGAAATGAGCATCCTGGATTCGACTGCTAGTTGTCACTAACAGACTGTTTGACTGTGAATGGTTATCATTGAGACAGAATATACGCCAGCCTAAACTAAGTAGGGAGATGCAGTAATTTTGATATGGTTGTGTTCTCTGAGCTGAATAGTTAATTTGCGAAGCTTTCATCACCCTACTAGGTGACTTCAATTTGAAGTATGCGCTGAAGATGTCACCTAGTAGGGTGATGAAAGCTTCGCAAATTAACTATCCAACTCAGAGAACTCAATCACATCAAAATCATCCACCTGAGCTACAAATCTTCTCCATCACATCTAGATGCAGTAACTGTTCATCTGAAATACTTATACATATGAATTAGCTGTCGCTTAACAATAAGCAGATTTCCGGACTGGCATGATCTATGTTCGTGGTTCAAATTCTGGAATATTTTAGGACGGTTTTGAATCCAGTAGTCACTTTGATAGTAACACAACACTTTGTCAAACAAGTCTGTGTATGCAGCTGCTTAAGTAGGCAGATTCTATAATGACATTTGTTTGAATTTAAAGAAACTGATTTCGTAACCTTTTGCTACTTAGAAAAATGAGTAGGTAAACACCTCAGTATACATATTATCCTACTATGGAAATTTTAATAAATGAGAAAATTAGCATGAAGAAATTTAAATCATTTCACTTTGTGCTAAATATGGCGCTGAAGATGTTGTCCAGAAGGACGACGAAAGCTTCGCAACTAAACCAACCAGTTTTCTATAGTTTGGTTTGTAAGGGTTTGTTATGTTTTTACGAGTTGATCACGGATTGATATCAGTTAGAGAACCATTGAAAACCAGGGAGTACTGGACAGCTGCTGTTTCATCCTAGTTTTGGGAATCATCGGCAGTACGCACCCACTATAGAAAATTAATCTGATGCTCGCTAGTGACTTGCTATAGGATGGAGTTTCCTGGAGTTCTAGTGAGTAGTCGTGACCAGTGAGGTCCAGTTAGATGTCACGTGTATGGATGGATGTCCCACCAACGACAATGGTTGAGGTCGCGCTAAATCACGAATGGTAGAAGTTAGAAATCATGGGCCATTGAATCGGGTCCCAGTGGCTGAATGGCATACGAGCTTGCCTTGTAACCGGAAGGTCCTGGGTTCGAATCCCAGTGGGTGCGTACTGCCGATGGTTCCCAAACTAGGATGAAACAGCAGGTGTCCAGTACTCCCTGGTTTTCAATGGTTCTCTAACTGATATCAGTCCGTGATCAACTCGTAAACCAACCAGCTCAGAGAACACTATTAATTGCAGAAAATTAGCATGACTTCCATGTAAGGCCTACTGAATACCTGTACTATACCATGGAAGATGAAATCTCAGTCTAGAACCATACATTTCAATATTCAATGCTCTTCCAATTTTCAATTCTATGGTATTAAAACGTTAATAGCATATATGTTGTACGTTTATATATGAATCAATGTCAAAATTATTAGTACTTGAATCAAAATCTCTTGTACAAAATTCTGACTGATGTTTTCACTCTTTTATATATTATAATCAGATTTCTAACTCAGTTATATTGTAACAGTAGCAGGCAAGACACGGAAGTCAAAGGATGTTTTCAAATGATCAAACCGCTATTTATAAATATACAGTTTAAATTCGTTAACCAATCACTGTGAGCGTGCGATTTTGGTTTTTCATTAAACGATATGAAGCAGAATGTTCAAATACATGCATAGTATTTTGTTGATAATACGGTATTGAACTGTGGGAATATGTGAGAATAATATTCCGTTGGAACACATTATCTGTATCATACCACCATAATGTGATTACCACTTAATGACATTTAATACAAGAATTACTGCTTATTTAAATTGTAACCTTCATCGTCGTATTTCTGAACATCATCCAGCGTGGTTAAGCAAGGGACAAACAATATCTATTCGTAGTTCTATGTTAGCATACCTTGTTGATACTGAGCATAAGGTTGATGTGAATACTGCATTTAAAATTATTTATCGCATTCCGAATAATCTTAACTTTGCTCTACGAGTTCGTCTTCTACAGACAGCTGAAGCAATCGGAATCCACCAGAAGAAGCCAAGCCTATGTGTACAGAAGAAATTTGTACAGCTACTTTCCTTACCGTGGCCATCGTTACAAGACAGGACTACGTCGCCCCCCTCCCCCTAAACCTATCAAATTATTATTGTCCAAATTATTTTATTTTTATTTTGACCACTTCATCTTTAATTACGTGTTATCCTTGTAAAATTAATTTATTCTATCCATTTCTACCTTTTAAATTTGTATTGATTTTCTTCGTTAATTATCAACCCATTGACATTTTGACACTTTAATTATTGTTAACAAACATATCACCACTTGTTTGGTAAATTGTTGTGTATTGTAAAAATGTTATATATATTAGAGTAGAGCCAGAGAAGAGGATCTAATTGAAAAGTAAATATTTCTTCGCTCAGTCTTTCTGTCTTCTCATAGAAGACGATGTAAGTACTGAATATGTGGATGAAATAATTAATAAAGAAATAAATTTCGTTCTACTCTGTTTCATCTACGTCATGGTTTATAGGCTATATTAAACTGTTCGTTTCAACCCAAGATCGTCAGTTATTCATATATTCAAATATCTTATGAGTTTCTTGTTATACAATTTGTTTTTAATGTCTTATCTAACATAATAGCTAATTGATTCTGCTTCAAGATATGCATGGCTAACATATTACTGTTATACGCTTAGACAGTTCTTGTCATACTATGAAAGCAGTTACCTTCAAGGTTTCAGAAGTTATATTTTACCTAATTATAGTACTTATCAAAGATACTCATTGAGACTTTACAAATCTGCCACTTTTAGTAATTCCTATATGGTATCACATCCTTTACTCACGAAATGTTCCAACATTTTTATTCAGTCTTATCAGTTAGTATGTAAAGGATTTATATTGTTATTATTGTTCCCTTGGGTTCCTAGCAGAACATAGGGCTTCGGCTGCACGCCTCCACTTGCTTCTGTCTTCTGCTATACTTTTCACTTGCATCCATGTT